AGAGAGAGAGAGAGAGAGAGAGAGAGAGAGAGAGAGAGAGAGGACCCGAGTTTGATTCCCTTGAAGAGACCATTTCATCGAGGATCTCAATCTTTCTGTTGAGACGTTGTACCTCTAGCTCTCCCAGCTCGGGTTGGCCCTGACTGGCAGAGTCGAAGCCCACCTTTCAAATGATCTAAACCTTTTCAATGAGGGCGTAAAACTGCTCACATAAAGAAAAACGAAACTAGTAATTCCAATTTCTTGTCCATCTTTATTATCCGTGCATGTCTGTCTTCGTGCTTTGCCTCAAAGAACCGTCTTTGTGTAGACGGGCTTCTCTTTCTCTTAATTTCAAATGTCTGGAACAAACCACCCGGACTTTTTTGCTCCTGTCTATAAGTCTTACTTTTCCCCTGCACGCGAAATGACCATTATTGTATCGAAGTACTTCACTTTACTCACACAAACTTATCGTTTCAATGTTCTTGGGCATCGTTATGTTGATGTGTTTCTCTTTCCCCTAAATACTCATTCCAATGTGTATTGACATTAGTGAAAGTGCTTCTTTTACTCAAACAAACACACTTTCTCTCTTTCCTGTGTGCTTTTCTTTACTCAAGCAAACTCCTCTCTTTCCAGTGTGCTTCTCTTTCCTAAAACTTCTCATTCCTATGTGCATGGCCTCTATTGTATGTGCTTCTCTTCAGAAAATTCTTTCTCTCACTCCAATATGCATAATATTATTCATTATTGACTGTGCTTCTCTTAAACTCTAACAAACAATCTATTTCTCTTGTTCCAGTGTGCAAGACGAACGGCCCTCTGGGCATGATCACGGGATCTATTAGCGACTGGCAGATCAGCTCATCCTCGACGTACCCGAGCGAGTGGGACCGAGGATGTCACGAGAAGTACGCCAGGCTGTACCTACCCAACAAGCTGGGCTGGTGCGCCAAGTACAAGAGCTCTTCCGAGTGGCTCCAGGTCGACCTGGGCGTGGCTGCAAGGGTGAGTATCTGGTTCTGTTTGACGCCCTCCTGGGAATGGGACAGCTGGTGGTCTCCTTCACGGATTGTTTTTTGTTGTTTTTTTTGGAGGGGGTGGGGGGGTTGGGGTTTTTGTGCTACCTCCTAAATGACGCCAGCAAAGTTTTAATTTTTGTGTGGAGGAGAAGTTAACAGAAGGAGAGGGAGGAGGATGATGAGGAAGAACAGGAAGAAGAACAGGAGGAATAGGAGGTGGAGAAGGAGGAAGAGGAGAAGGACGACGAGGTCGGGGGAAGAAGAAGAAGAAGAAGAAGAAGAAGAAGAAGA